ATTCAATCAATTCCATTAAATTTCTATATAAAGGTAACATTGCCTATTGGTTTCTGTTATTATAGCAATCATACTCGAAACATTTATTATTAGAAATCCATTGGACTTTTATTTAAATCTGTTTATACATGGTTTGTAACAGATGATTTTCAATAATAATTTTATGTTATTTGTATAGATATATTGAAAATGGATCTAATGTTTCTTGTGTTCATTCTTTTAAAGGGGCCTCGCTACAGTCTTCGTTGTTGCACGAATGGGCAGGTCCGTCCGGGTAAGTACCACGGCTCACAGAAGACTGGCGTGAAGTGGAAATTATATGCGTCTGGTGAGTGAGGTGAATGAAACCCACTTTATAAAAGATGGCAATTCATCTGCGACCGTAGGGATGCAAATGTCAATTGGCGGTGGTTACCACTCGCTCAGCTCGCCAGATTCTCATATAAAAGAAAAACCGTCAAGTGCCAGCCGAACTCGTACGTCGAGGGTTCCGTACATACCCATTATATCGCCATAATAAAATTGGTAAATGATCATCACCGATTTTCTCAGGAACAGGTGGACGTAGCAAGTTGAAATTTACTCATTACGAAACAGTGGTAGATTTCAAAAAACAATTATCAGTTTCTGACAATCTTAAAGTGTCTCTCTATTTGTAAGTTTTGTTTTTGTATCTTGCTTTTATAGGGTTCCGTACCCTAGGGTAAAACGGGACCCTATTACTAGGACTCCGCTGTCTGTCTGTTCGTCTGTTTGCAGGCTGTGTATTATTCTTGGCTTCTCTTGCAGGTACGATAGTGAGGGACGAGGCGGGGCGGGTGGTGGGGGACCTGTCGAGCGAGGGCGCGATGTTCGTGGCGGCCAGGGGAGGCGCGGGCGGCAGGGGCAACAAGTTCTTCCTCACCGACACACAGCAGGTACGAATTGCTTATATCGCTAGCTGTGTCCCATCCCTGTATGCTGCGCTGGGTTCCATCCCTACTACTACTGGAAAATGTTGTGTGATGAACACCGTGATTTTCTAGTTTCTGAGTGTGTATATTTTTATTTACAAAAAAAAAAGTATATTTAAATATGTTTATCAGTTTTCTAGTACACCTTAGCACAAGTGTTGCTTAGTTAGGGACTAGAGAATGTTCTGTAAAAATGTGTCCTAAAATATTTAATATTTATTTATTTTAATGAATTATTAGGTATTAATAGATAGGAGAAACCCCACTTTAAAGGACACTTACACGTCTACGGCATTCGCGGCCTAACGCTTTAGACACTAATCTAAACGGCTGATTGCCACACCGATTTAAATCAGAGATTAGCACTAAAAAATCTTTAAATTTCTAAATAGCAATGGCGACATCTCTCGTTCGAATTATCGGTGTAAAACGATATTCGAAATTGTTTGTTTGCTGGAAATGATATAACAATGGATGCGCCAAGCATTGCTTCAAATGCTAAAAAGCAATGTAGATTTTCAAAACGTTTTCGTCCGCTCCTCACGCCGGTCTTCTGTGAAGTAATATCTGCGGGTCACACAAATAGTTGTCCCGTGTGGGAATCGAACTTACTAACCGCGGCGCCTTCTTCTCATTCATCACGTTATTTTATTTTAACGGGAAGCTAGATAACTAACGATGAAAATTACACAGGCACCGGACATAGCTGAGTTCGGGGCTATAGGGGAGAGCAGGGTATACTCCCTGGAGGTGCGGTCGATGGCCCACGTGGGGCTGATAGGGTTCCCCAACGCCGGGAAGAGCACCCTGCTGCGAGCCCTCACCAGGGCGAGGCCAACAGTAGCCCCCTACCCGTTCACCACCCTCCGTCCCCACATCGGTAAAGCTCCATTGATTATCTATATAATGCTCGCAGTACAAGAATGCTTCAATAGATTGACAGGTTTAAGTTTTGTTAATAAATATTGTTGATGAACTTTGATTTGTTGAATTGTATTAGCATTGTTCTTGTCAATGAAAGATTTTTAGAAACAGTATGCATTTTTTTATTTATTATTTTATATTTTATATATTTAATATTGATTTCATTTGTTTTGTAAGTACTTACTTATAAAAGTATATTCTGTGAACAGTAAGCGAAAACAAAGTTTTCAAAACTAATATTTCATTATGTTTCTATCAAACTTTCAATAATGATTTATTTCTACCAGTTTTTACAGTAGTTTATAGTAGACACAGTAATAGTACCTCAACTCATCGTATAAAACAAATCGAAGGTAGGAGATATAATTTTAAAGGAAATAAAAATAAACAAATATTTACAATCCAATATAAATAGTAACTATAAAGAATACCTGTTTGGGAATTTTGATATGTATAACACTGGAAAAAAGAACTTATAAATAGAACTGAATTATGTTGTAAAATACGTATGTTATGTTCTCGTGCAGGCATGGTGCCTTATGACGACTACGAGCAGGTCGCGATAGCAGATCTTCCCGGTTTGATTCCTGGCTCGCACAAGAATTATGGACTCGGTGAGCTACTTTCAGTATGGCTTTGGTACTTTATTTTTATGTTATACCAGTCTTTTGTGAGGTCGTGGTAATTATCCGGACGGAGCTGCCCACTCGTGCAACAGCGAACACTGGCGTGAGGCGTTACACTTGTGCGTTTCGTCCGGCGAGTGAGGTAGCCGG